TACTAGTAATTATATTATATTTGTGCATAATGTTCTAATATTGGAACGTATCTATATCAGTCAATGACTTAAAAAAATATATATTTACTCCTAGAATATTAAAGATTATTTTGCTTTTATTAGATTATGTAACACAAGAATTTGAAATGGATATTAATGCGAATTTTATGAACACTTATGAATCTAATAGAGGTATTGTAATTTAACATATTCATTTTAATTATATTTTATAACTAATTTGTAAATTAACATACATTGTTAGAATATTTGACCAGGGAAATTGATTTTGATATTAATACTTCAGAACTTTAAGTCTATGGACTATAATTTTCATCAAAAATTTTCATGACTTAACCTATATTCATATAGTAAAACATAAAATACGAAATTAGTCTTTTTACTTTCTTGTTGCGAGAGAATTTAAAGTTCGATAGATGATTCTTCCTTACTTCATATTATTTTTAGTCAAATGGTCATATAATCTACAAACTTTTTAAAGATTATGGCAGTAATTTTGTGTCATGTGTTTTAATAACCACTATTCTTTAGAAGTTAGAACTGCCCTAAAATCTTTAACCAGTTTCAATCTCTACTATACTTGTTTGATATCGATCATGAATATATGCAATACTTTAGTTTTGTGAAAATAAAATGATTATTTTAACGAAATTTTTGTAAAAATATTTGAGTTTTCATTTAATCCTTTTACATTTAACAAAAGTTTGCTTTTTTACGGTTTTGGTTTGTTAAATGATATAATCTAATCACTGGTTTCGCGATAGATTAAGGTACTGATATTAGTTAGTTTTTCATACAAGAAATTTCTTAAAATCACTTTTTGGCAATTCATTATTGCCATACGATCGACTATTATATGATTGAAGAAAATTATGTCATGACACACATTGGCCAAGTTTCAATTCCGACATAATTGGAGAAATGCTTTTCAAATAGAATAGAAATATATTTGGGTAAGCGAGAAGCTTTCAAAAAATCTTTTCCGAAAGCAAGGGTGATGTTAGTATGATATATGCGAGTGTTGGTTGTGTAGGATTATATGTACATTATCGGAACCAATAAAAAATTATATCAAAATTTTTGGTAACTGTGTGTATGGTGTGAGATATTGCTCGGATATTTTTTTTATATGTTGTCTTTTTACTTTCGCAAGACCTGACGCAGTATGTTTATAATTCGTGAAGCATACATTATAGGTTGTAGCGTTGTATAAACCAAGCAAATGCACGCGTATACATTTCATGATTCTCAAAATTTAAATTTTTATGCAAGCTAAAACAATAAAAAGAATTTATCATAGAACACCACAATCACAAAATGATAATTTTATTAAATGATCGAGAACTTATGAAAATTGCGGCGCGTACAATTGTTCCAAACCTAACGGCTGCTTGTAGTTAGGTCGTCTCTGTGGTTTTCGCAATAGGTATTAATCACTATTATAAAGAAGACATTTGTCGTTTAGGCGTTTGCAGGATTATAAACCCGGAGGAACTTGTAAAATATGAGTATTTCCAAATGCAATCATCTTTAGAGACGTAATTTATTAGTGTAAAAAATCAAATGTAAAGTCATTTCCTCCTCCGTGGTAATAATTTTTGGTAAATTCGTTATTTCAGCATTTATTTTTCTTTTAATCTCACTTTTAATTCCACAGCAACGTGATTGTACAAATCCCCATGGATGGATTAACGATGCGCCTAACAAAGTTTAAGAAAAATTAGTAAATGATAAGACTTTTTTTTTAAACCATTTTTCAATGAATTCTTACCAAATAGAAACACATAGAATGCCGATACTAACCCCCAAGCACCTGCGTTATAAAAAACATGGTGTTACATTAACTTAGGATTCAGTGTTCACATTGAATACTTTACTTACCTCCGATAACTCCAAAAATGCTCACGTACTAAATCAATTTACGTTATATGATTAGTATGAAATTATAAAAAAAATTTCAATAATATAAAATATCAATCTACCGTTCTAGTTCTTCGAAATATATTAGAAAACAAAAAAAAATTCGGGTGGCTAAGAGAAAAATTTGGCAAATATACAAAAAAAAATTAAAAATTAACGTACATACCTTTGTTCGGTTTCAATAACGTTAAAAATGAATTTGGTCTGACTAGGATAATGCTAATATAATCTTCGGCTTGAACTTCTTCAACATCAAGATGGAATATCTCTACGCGAATTTTTTACTTTAAAAGAAGAAACTTGCTTTTCTTTTTCAAAAAAAAGAAAAAATTAATGGCTTACTTACGATTCAATAATGCTTTAACATAAGCATTTTCTTTGTAGACAATCATATTAACCAATCCGAACTTTTAGTAGTATTTGCAAACCATATTTCAATATTAAAGGGGATATTTCTATCCAACTGTTCATGAAGTTTGATTGATTAAACATGTTTGTGAAATTTGGAACAGGAACAACAGAGGTAAAAAACTAGGGACTTTAAAAAAATATCAGGTGAAATTTCGTGTACGTCACGTTATTCAGGTAAAGTAATTGATATACTGTATTCATCTCTTAATTTGTTTCGTATGTTAAAATCATTTATTTAGGTACCAAGCGTTATTGACATCAAGCTCGTGTAACGAATGGTGTGAACCGCAGTAATCGACATATTTTGGTTACAGAACGATTTCCCGAAAGCCACTTTCCCGAATATAAATTTGACCCATTTGACCGAAGCCATTTTCCCGAATTCCAATATCCCGAAGCCCGATTTCCCGAATCCTAATATCCTGAATCTTAACGAATCCCGATTTCCCGAATCCTAACATCCCGAATCTTAACGAAGCCCGATTTCCCGAATGCTAATATCCCGATCATGATCACCAAACAATATCTAAAATATTTGATTGTTTTAAAATGTGACGAAATTATTTTAAAATTTTCGAAATTGTTCCTAAAATGGAAAATTTTCACTCGTAATTTCGGTCTTTTAAAAATTTTTTTTTCTTTATTTTTTTATAGTTTTGTTATATTATTACTATGAAAGAATAAAATATTAATAGAATTATTTGTAATAGATATTTTACTTACAATTATTGTAAAATTACAATATTTCTTTATAATGTTAAACTATAATAAAGAAAATAAGACGAATGAAAAAATTTACACTTAACATTATATTACATATTTGATTAGTGACACTTCGGATTAATAACGGTCCTCATTCCCTAGTATTAAATATTTTTTTTTTTTCTCTTCCATTTTTAATTTCAATCAAAATGAGTAATGAAAGGTCGTGAAGTATGCAGTTTAGTTATATCAAACACGAGGAAATCCAAAGATTATTGTACATGAATATATATTAGTAAAAGAAAAAATAATGACAAGAGATATTAGTGGTGCTGCGAATATAGAAAATGTATACTTGCAAAGGAAGAGCTATAACGGATTTAGAGGATGAAGATCATGTATTGAACAACATAACCATGCACCTGAAGCAAGCCGAACTAAAACACTTGACATAATTAAGACAAATGATCAACCAATCGCCAATATTCATCAAAGTTCATACTCCTACCTGCAAAATAGACAAGCTTTAGTAAAGCAATTTTCACGTATTAGGAGTAAAATAAACCAGCATAGCCACAATCATTAGAAGAAATTAATGTTCCTATTAAATAGCATACAACTATTAATGGGAAACAAATTTTAGCAAAAGATATAAATTTTAATAAAGAAAGAATAATAATTTTTTGCATAGAGTCTGATCTTCAACATTTGTAAGATGCTGAATATTTGATTATGGATGGGAACCTTCAAAACGGTACCAATTCTATTTCAGCAAATGTATATAATACATGCATTAGTTGGTGGTGAAAATAATGTATGTGTTTTACCCATGGTGTATGCATTAATGACAAATAAGTCAGAAGAAAATTATACTCAATTATTTCAAGCGTTGATAACTCTAGGTGAAGAAGCTGATCTAGTCCTGAATCCAACTTTAGTACTTACAGATTTTGAGCAGACAGTTATAAATGTAATTAATGATGAATTTACAGAATCCGTTCATAAGGGTTGCTTTATTCACCATGTCAAAACCTTCGGAAAAAAATCAAACTTCAGGATTATCAAATGAATATGGTAATAATCAGGAGTTTAGTACAAAATTAATTTATCATACGGATCTTTCATTTCTACCACCTACTGAAATCCCAGATTCATTTAATCAAATTTAGCCTCTAATGTCTTCAAATGCACGAGAAATTGTGCAATATTTTGAAAATAATTATGTTCTTAGGAGAGTTAAACGAGTTCTTATAAATGAATTTGAAACCTGAAATCCACCATTATTTCCACCAGATCTTTGGTCTGTCTATGAACTTATCGAGAATGGTTATCCTCGAACATAAA